AAAAAAAATTGGAACAGTAGCTTTGAAATCCCTATGAAGTTTTAAATTTTCAACCGATTTTTGAGATCTTTGTATCAAAATGCGTTTAATTTTGAGCGCTTTGATAATATTGTTTGCGAAGACACAGAAACTTTTTTGTAGGCAAAAGAAAATAATTAAAAAATTGAAACAGCAATTTTTACTAGGTGGAACACCAATTGACTATAACTCCTAGAAATCGTGATATTCCGGAAATTTGGAAAATTACTGTTTCAAAAAGTCAAGAGGTCTTTTTTCAGGTCCCCAATTTTAAGTCTTTCTCTTTTTTTTTTGGAAAAAAATGTGTCACCAAAAAATGCTTGTTCCCTGAACACCTCTTTTTTATTTCTCTATTTTCTCCCCAATTTTTTACGACACAGTTCTTCTTCATTAGTCACACCAACTAAAAAATTGTTTGATAGTTCTTTGTGTTGTTTTTCAAAAAAAAATTGCCGACTGGTGATCTCTGAATCCCGAAAACTAGAAGACGTCACTCATCTTCTATTGTCTCTTATCATATCTCCCGATTGTCCAAAAAATCGGAAGTCAAAAAATAGATTTAGTGGTTTGGGCGCGAAAAAAAGCTATTTAAAAAAGTGTACGCAATTTTCGTACCAACCGGTTTTTTGTCCCTTTTCTTTGTCTTTGATGATTGGATGATTGCTGTAGACTTCTCATAACCTTGCGAAAAAGGTTAATAGGATAGTAGAAACTATGGGAAACTTTTTTTGGAACAGCTTTTTGTTCTAGAACTTTTGGAAGGGTTACTGTAGTTTTAGGTAACGAATCTGGATAAATAGGGTATTGGAGTACTGTAGTTTAAGGGGTATGACTGTGGTTTCAATATTGACATTTTTCAACCCCGGGAAAATCTTGAATAAACGAAACAGTAATTTTTCGAAATTCCAGATTTTCAATATTACTGTTCCTAGTGAAACTGCCATTTTTTCCAGTTAATATTTTGTCCGTCGGTTTCCATTAGCCGCTGTTCCTTTAAACTATCCCCCCCCCAAAACCCAAAAAGTTCAAATTCCCCGCCAAATCACAATCCCTATTTTTCCAGGTCATATGCGACGATCAGGGCGAAGTCAGCAAGATTGTCGCCGGTCAAGACTTTGAACTTCGGTGTGGTAGAAAGTGAGTTTTGCTGTAGTTTTACAGAATTAAAACGGAGAAAAAAAGGCGCACATGCACACACAATTGTATACATTTCTGATAAGCGCGGAGCACATGGAGCATTTTGTATGAACTATGATGTCTTGTACTATTTTTGGGTACAGTAGTCAGTTTCAGAGTGTCTAGCCTCACATTTTTTGTAGTTTGTAACTTTTTGATAGCTAGAACTGTTCTTGAGATGTGAGGATGCAAAGTTTGAGGAGACGCAGAGAAGCGAGAGTTCTCATTGCAGCATTTTATCTCAGAAACGGTTGGAGATATTAGAAATAGTAAAATGATAAAATGTGTAAAATTGAATTTCCTACATTTTGTTAGTTGATAACTTTTTGATAGTTTCTATCGTTCCAGAGATGTAAAGATTCAAAGTTTGAAGAGACGCAGAGAAGCGAGAGTGTAATTGCTTCTCTGCGTATCCTCAATCTTTGAAGTCTTATATCTCGAGAACGGCTGGAACTATCGAAAGTTATTAAATATGAAAATATAGAAAAATTAATTGCCTACGTTTTGATAGTTGATAACTTTTTGATAGATCTCACCGTTCTCGTGATAAAGGCTCAAAGTTAGAGGAGACGCAGAGAATCAAGTGTACTCTTTAACTTTGAAGCTTTATATCTCGGGAACAGTTAGCGCTATCAAAACATTGTAAACTGATAAAACGTAGGAAATTTAGCTTAATATATTTTGTTTGTTGATTACTTTTCGATATCTCTAACCGTTTCTGAGATATAAATCTTCTAACTTGGAGGAGACGCAGAGAAGGGAGAGTGCTCTCGCTTCTCTAACTTTGAAGCCTCATACCTCAAGACCCCTTAGAGCTATCAAAAATCTTCCAACTAACGAAAAATGTCAAACTTTATCTAGTTTTTCATAATTTGGATTCCCAGACATATACTTTCACCTCCCCCATCTTTTCTTCGTTCTTCCTTCGCTTTTGCTTTTTTGATCCCATCATCTCGGAACTACAACTAATAACACCTGACCCCTATCTCTCTCCCTGTCTGCTCGTGTACTTTATTTTGCTCTCTGTGTCACAAAAAGCTAGAGAATCGTATAGAAATTTGTGTTTATATATCATTGTTCACCCTCTCCAAGTGATCAGGTTTCAAAAACGAACAGAGAACAAAAGTAACGAAAAACATATGATGTGATTTTTTGGGCTTAAAAATGAAATGCTGAGAAAAAACAAGGAAGTTTTTCAAGTCTCAGACAGCTCAGGATCCTGCAGAAGTAAGTACTTTCTCAAAAACGAATTGAATTCGAAAAATTGCTGATAAAATTTTTTTTTTAATTTTACAGCAATTTTCCAGAGTTCTCATTAGTCAGTGACGTGGTACACAAAATTTTCTGAAAAATATAAAAAATCAAAAAGCTTAAAATCTGAAAAAGATTAAAAATTCGAAAAAATTGCTGTTTCAATTTTTTTTCGAAATTTTGAACACAATCAAATCTTTCAATCATCCGGTTTTTGTGATAAGAGTTTGAAAAAAAAAATTTCAAAGTGATAAGTGGTTGAAATCTGCTAAAAGTCCAATTTCGAATTTTATATGCCTGAAAATAAGATTTTCAAAAAAATAACTCAAAAAATAAGAAAATGTCATTTTGAAAAAAAATACTGTTTCAAAAAAAAATGAAAATTTTCAGCCGAAAGGGGTCTTGTTATTTATCAACTGAGGTGTTTTTTTGATACAAACTACGAAAAAGAAATTTTCCCTAAATTTGCTGAAATTTTTAGCTTGAAAAAAATAGTAAATTTATATAATTTTCAAAAATATTACTGTTTCAAAAATTTTGGAAATTTTGAATACCATCTAATTTTCCAGTCATTCATGTAAGGCTGAAAAATTACTGTTTCAAAGCGAAATTAGAGTTCAATAAACGAAAATTAAAATCGATAAATCGATGAGACGAATTTCAAAAAATGACACTATTTACAGAATGAAAATCCTTTAAACTACTAAACCAGGAATTTTTTCTAGAAAGTTCGCTGCATTCACAGAATACGGAGCATTAATGAAAAAAATCGAAATTTTGGAAAAAAATAATTTTTAAAACAGCAAACATTTTTTTAACGGAGCTAGGGTTACGGTAGCCAATGTACACCCCCCCCCCCCACCCAATTATCCAGACGGCTGTTCACAAAATTTGAAATTGAGTTCCAGAACTTTCCAAAAGTACATCTATCCCCTGAACTCATCTGTCTAGCCACATAGACCTTTGGCCTCGAAAAAAGAGCTCAAATATTTTTGCTCTTTTTTCCCCCTGTACTTTCACTTTTTAACCCCCTCCTGGCACCAAAAGATACACCTCTGATAATCGGCTTTTTTCTTGTGACACACAATTTTAACAAAAAATATTTTGATCGATTGGAATTTTTGGGAATGTTGAGCCCTACGAAAGTGCTTCAAAATTTTTCAATTTATTTGAAAAAAATTTTTTTTTGAAAAAAAGTCGTCTGGAAAATTTTCAAAATTTTCCAAAATTTTCAATAAGTGAATTCTAAACTTAAAGGGACGATAAAAGAAGCCTTTTGACAATATTTGATAGTCGGTATTTCTTTGGAAGTCACATATAAATGATTTGTCTCGAAACATCAATGGATCGTATGTAGTTAGTTGAAAATTACCTAGCAGCACTCAAAACTTGGAAAAAAGATTTACATAAGTCCTTACTCATTTATTATTGTTCCGGACCCAACGTGAGCAAATATGGGTGGTTTTGACTAACATTTTGGCTAGAGGAGACATTCCAACAGTACTTCGAGAAATTAAAAAAAAATATTTCTTGGCTGCTTTTTCAAAACAACTCAAAACTGTTTTTTTCTTCAAAATAAATGAAAATATGATTAAAATTTTTTTTCAAAAACTTTATAACTCATTTTGAGAGTTCCAGAGAGATCAGAAAAAAAAACAAAAAAAATTCGAGGAGGGAAGGATCGAACCTAGCCCCAGTCAGTTACTGTCCCTTCCTCCTCACCACTACACCACACTTGGTGTTTACTGCTTCTCCAATTTGTATAAGAAAGGGGGGAAGCGCGCGCAAGCCGCAACGCTGAACAGCCAGTGAAAATTTCAGACGCATTTTTTCAGCTTCGAGATACCGAGGGGCAGGAAAAAAATTATCTCTTTATTGACCATGTCCGAGAGTATATGTGTACCAATTTTCAAGAAATTCTCAAATCTGTTCTGAAAACACCTCCCTTGTGAGAACCGTATTTTACGAGAAAGTTGTCAACTACAAAAATGAAGCCCTAGTTTTGTTTATTATGCTTTGAATTCTTCAGAGATCAACAATTTGTTGTTTCAAAAATTGAGAGACGCAGCGAAGCTCGAAAATCAAACTTGGAGATCAAACAATGCAAATTATTGTTATTTCTGTGTCTATGCATAATCAGCGAAAAATCAGGTACTCACCGTGAGAGAGAATACAAATAGATTGTTTGATCTCGAAAACTCGCAGTCTAATTCTCTCGTTTCCCTGTACTCTCTCCTATGAAACAGCTGATTGAGAGGTGCAGAGGACCACCCCGTAGTATTATCTTTACGCAAATTTTATGATCAGACAAGAGAGAGAGAGAGAGGAGAAAACATAAAACTTTGGTTTCTCCAGAATTCATTTTTATTTGTTTGATGGTTTGATTTCAATTGTTTACATGTATAAAAAGGCGCGATGGCAACATGTCAACTTGATTGTCTGCATTTTTGCGTACAGTGACTATTGGTTACCGTAATCCTTTGAAATCTTTGTCTAATTTTTTTTGCTGTTTCAAAAGTTTTCAATCCAAATTTCTATTTTTTTGCATTAATATCTCTATTGGAATTTCTAGAAATGACAGCTAGAAAATCTTCCGCGTTAGTAGGCGTAATTTCTGGAATTTCCTTCTTGAAAAAAAGGAAAAAAAAATTTTTCAACTCATTGTTGACGAACTACTGAATATTTAGATTGCGTTCAAAATTTCGAAAATATTTGAAACAGCAATTTTTTTCTCATAACTCGCTCATTTTTTGAGGTAGAAATTTGAAAATTGGCGGGATTTTTGGCAAATTTTGCTGGGAACATTTCTTGATAATTTGGAGTATCACAAATTAAAAAAATTAGCAAAGCACAGTATCCTTTAGGCTCAAAAATTTGCCAACAATTTTGGAACAGCAATTTTTTCAAAATCCTGTAACTTTGTCAATTTTTAAGCTAGGAACTTAATTTTTTCTTTGAGCATAGTTCCGAAATTAACCAGTAGCCAAAACTTAATTCTTGAAAGTTTTCCAAAAAAAATTGAAACAGTGATTTTTCTAATTTTCTCATTTTTCGAGCTAAACACTTCCAAATTTTTCTGTTGCATAGAAAATTCAAATTTTTGAATTTTCAAACTTTTATTAGTTCGCCGTATATACAAATATGTCCAAAAAGAAAATTTTGTAAAATTTTTGAAACAGCAATTTTTTCCTAGAATTTCATCAGCTTTTGTTATGCTTTCAGCCCCCCAGCCTGACTCATGGAACTGCAAGAAACTTTTTCATTGAAAAAGTTGCAATTTTCCATCCATCCCATCATCTCAAATCAATTTCTCTGCGTCTCCTCACTTCCCACACTCTCTCACTCCATCTGTTCTTTACTCACATCACGTGATCCGCACAGGGACTCTGAAAAATACATTTTTTTCACTGTTTCAAATATTTAGGGGTCAAAAAATTCCGGACGCTAAAAATTTCTGAAACATGAAATTTTGAGGTGGGGTGACAAACACAAAATGCTGCAAATTTTCTAAATATGCTTCAAGACAAAATTTTCGATTGATAAGTGGAAAAAATCATTGATAAGCGACGCGTGTTGCTTCTGTACTCGATTCCTTTGTCTGATTTTTTGACAGCAAAAAAATGGAAAATTTATGACAGATTTACGATGGGGGGGGGGGGGGGTGCTGTAGATTTTGGTCATCGTCGCCGTCTTGCAGATCAAACTTTCTAGTTTTGGTCACATTAACTTCTACAGTAATCCTTATCATTTCCATTTTAAGAGGGTTTCGTCGGGGGTTTAAAATGGCACGCGGGGTGCATTGAACTTTCCTAGAACTTTTTTTTTCAAATTTTTTGATCCGGAATTTGACTCCTTGACGCATTTTGAGTTCAGGGAACATTCAAAACACCTTTGGGTGGGTTTAGAGTGCAATTGCTCAGAAATAAATTGTTCTGGATTTTGGAAATTTTGGTGTATTAGAGCTCTTTAAATTATCTTCAGGTTGATATATAGATCATGTGAAGATCTCTAAAATGAGCAAAGTTATAACATTTCGAACTTCAGAAAACGAAAATTTTGAGGTTCCCAAAGTTGGTTGGGTTTAGAGCCTCATTGCTCAGCGTCAAATTTTATTAGTTTATTGAAAAATTAGCATGTTGAAGGCCTTAAAATTATCTTCAATATGATATATAGATCATGCAAAAACCTAAGAAATGAGCCAAGTTACAGCATTTTGAATTTTTTGGGATCAAAAAAATTTGAGTGCAAAATTTAATTTTTTTCAAAATTAAAGTTTGAACTCCAAAAAAAAGTTTTTCAAGTTCAAAAATGTGCAATAGTAAGTGCAAAATATTCACAATTTTCAGTAGATCAAAAATTTCAAAACTACAGTAACCCAAATAATACAGTCTGCCCATCAACAGACCTTATGGTCATGTTGATTGTTTTCTATTTTTTCAATTTCTCTCTCATCATACATTCTATTATTTCTCTCTCGTAGTTTGATCAGTACCTCTTCTGGTTCACGTGCCCTCTGTATCTCTTTTTCTCTCGCTTCTCTGCGTCTCTCACTCCCAAGCCACGCCCCCTTCTTCTCCCGCCCCGAAAGCCACGCCCACTCGACATCTCGAGGCGCATTTTTTCAGTGTTAAAGTCAAACAAATCATGAAATAAGCGGCAATTATTGTCTAGGTATATAAATATTGTCGAGAATTGTTGTGTTTTCATGAGTTTCTCACTTTCCTCCTCTTCTCTTTCCTTGGATTACTGTAGTTTTGCCTTCCTACATTTTCCTTGCGGTTTTCCATGATTGTGATATAGCTCTCCGAGAAGTTAGACCCAATTTTTCTTTGATATTTTCATGTGACATTCAAAACATTATATGTAAAATTCGACGCTTTTTTCAATGGTGTTAGATTCACTAGCCTAGCTAGCTTAGAAGCTGAGATATGGCCAAAAATTTATACAGTCTTTTTGAGCTCAATGTAATCGGTTACTGTAAGAGGTTACGAAAATTTATCAACTGATAAAATTTTTATCTTAAATTTCCAATATTTTTATGGTAACAGATTTTTGATATCTTTCACAGTAGCCTAGATAATTGAGCTCAAAGCCACAACCTTCCAATTTTTTTCATTTTTCAAAATTTTGAGCTCCAAATTTTTTACCTTGCTAGATTTATATATAATGTTATAAAAAATTTTACGCTCTTCCAAAAAATCTAAATTTCATAGCGCTAACTAAATTTTGAGCTTAGTTATAAGGTTTTATCTAGTGTATTGGTAGTTTTGCACTCAAGGGCATCTGCACCCAAAACCCCAAAAAATTTCAAAGGTGCAAATTAAAAAAAAAAAGAACTTTGTGTAAAATTTTACGTTCTTTTTAATGGTATATATTTCATAGCTTTAGCTTATCTGTGACCTGAGTTATAGGTTAAATTTAGGTACCAGCTACAGTAATCCTTATTATTTAGATCTTTTTTTAAAGCTCTCACACTCCGAAATCCTAGAAAAATTGAAAATACATGTGCTTTATACAAAATTTTACGCTCTTTCGAATGGTATAATTTTTATAGCTCTAGCTTCACTATGAAGCAAGCTACAGCCCTCTCTTTGAGGTCGTGACTGCGTAGCTCAGTGGGTTGCGGCGCAGGACCACTGAAAGTTTGCCCACAAGTTCGATTCCTTGAGCCGCTTCAAGTTACCAAACTCATCTAAATTGCTCATCTATGACCTTCTGAATCTTCGTTTTCACGTCTGATCACTTCCTATGACGTTGTCTCTCGTAGCTACCTCCAGAATCCAGCTTTTCCGGAACGATTACGGTTTGTGAACCATCTGCCGCCGTGTCGTCTCGTCTCTATTCTCCCAATTCTTCTTCTCTCCCTTCTAAATCAAATATTTGCCTTTTTCCAACGCATGAGCTCTTTTTCCTCCACCTACCATAGGCTCCCCATCCCACATCACATCACATAGAACAGTGTGCTCCTTCATGTGCTTCTACATCATGATGAATTTGTAAAAATTCAAAATTCAAATCTCCCGCCGCGCATTTTCAAATGTGCTTATCATCTAGATAACGTATTCCAGAGGTCGTTTCGAACGATTCTTTGTTCTCGAAGGACCAGCACACCTGATCAAAATGCACGTCGAACAACTGTGTAAGGCATTGGACACCACCGATTTGGACGATGAAATACGACCCAAAGCGAGGTGAGGGATTTTTTTCTGGAAGGAAATTTTAAGCTCTTACGAATGGTATTTAAATTTTAGCTGTAGGTTGACTATGGATTACTGTAGAGCCTCTAGTAGAAGGCAACCCTATACTTTAACTTTGAGCTAAAACTTTGAGCTCCATTATCTCAGCTCTTATAAGAGATATCAAAAATCTGCAAACTACAAAAATGTTGGTGATAATATAACAATTCTTTTATCAGTTAGCAAATTTACAGTATCGCTTACAGTAATCGAGATAATTGAGCTTGAAGAAAAGCTATAGCGGAGTTATGGGAGGTTGTATTGGCGGCACTAACTTTGTATTCAAATTTTGTAAGCTCCCATTTTTGGTACCTTTATAGAATTTTATATCAATTTATAGAAAATGCTATGGTCTTTTTGAATATTTAACTTTCATAGCGCTAGCTAAATTTTGAGCTAAGTTATGAGCATTTATCTGATGTATGGGTGACTTTGCAATAAAAAAATTCTAAGGTCAGCACCCAAAAACTTTTTTCTAGATGCAAAATTTCAAATAATGTATCTTATGTAAAATTTTACGATCATTCGAATGGTATAGTGTTCATAGCTATAGCTTGCTTATCAGCTGAGTTATAGGTCAAATTTTAGTGCCGACTACAGTACCCCCTATCATTTGGGTCTCTAAAATTTCACTTTCCTAGAAAATGTTTATATCATTTTAAAAACCATTTTTCTGCTCTTTCCAATGACTTGAAGTGAAAATCTCTAGCTCAAAAATCGCTTGACCTACCAGAGACCAAAGTTTTTGCAATCAATCATATGCTGCTTCCTCCTCCAATACTATAGCTGTGTAATATTTTGACCACTGCCATCCACGTGTCACCCACATGCGCCAGACTTTGTTCTCTTTTGTTTTTGGCGGCTCCGATGAGCACACACATAACACAAACATGTGTACAGAATAATCTAGTTTTTAATGAATAATATGACGACGAAGTACTCTAAATCAATATTAGCTTAACTCCAAAAATTTTCAGTCACGCTCTCGAAGAGTCCGATCTGGAATTGGAGGATCTTCAACGCGTGGCCACACTCGGAATGGGCGGTTTTGGACGCGTCGAATTGGTCCGATCCGCCGAACGGACGTACGCTCTGAAAATCATGAATAAGGCGCACATTGTGGAGACGAAACAAGAGAGTCATGTTGTCTCCGAACGTCGGATATTGATGCAAGTGGATTGTGATTATATTGTTGGGTGAGTCAAGGGGACCATTTTAAGCCTAAATTCAACTATGTAGCTGAAATATGAACTGAGATATGCTCAATGGAGCAAAAACGCTTATTTTCAAAAAACAATTTTTTTCAAAATTTCATATCTCGGCTCATTTTCAACCGATTTTTGAAGTCTTTGTTCTGCTTAAAACCTTAAAATTCACACTTTCAGACTCTACAAAACGTATCGTGACAGCGAGAAGATCTACATGCTCATGGAGCCATGTCTTGGTGGAGAGATTTGGACGATTCTCCGCAAAAAGTTCGTATTATGAGAAAAAATAGGGATTTATTAAAAATCTTTAGGTCTTTGATACAGAGTACGTTTTTCTTTATTTTGTTAACTGGATACTGTATCTTGGGATCCGAACAAACGAATCTAAAAAATTAGAATTCAAATTATTCAAAATTCAAGTTTTTTTTCGGCTCGAAAGTGCCCAAAAATGATACCAAATGCGCTCTAATGATAATTTTACCAAGATTTCTCTTCCAGCGAACGGTCGAACAAGAACATTTTAAATTTAGAAACATTCAGAAAAAATTTGAAACAGTAAAAATTTTCTTTCGATTTTCAAATTTTTTAAAAATTCAAAAAATTATAACTTTGTTAATTTTTATCTCGCTTCCTATGAGAGATATCAAAAATTTGTCAATTGATAAAAATTTTATCATAAAATTTTCAACATTTTATTAGTTGACAAAATTTCGATATCTTTTACAGTAACCGAGATAATTGAGCTTGAAGTGCAGCTATAGCGGCGCAAATGGAGAGGGCGTGGGGGTACTAATTTTTTTTTAATTCAAATTTTTGAAGGCTTCAATTGTTTAGAATCTTCTAGATTCAAATATCATTTTGTAGCAAAATTTACGGTCTTTTAAAAAATGTATTTTTCATAGCGCTAGCTAAATTTTGAGTTTAGTTATGAGCATTAATGCAGTGTATAGGTCAAAATCCAAAATTTCGAAAATTGACATAAAATGCAAGATAGGGTTGAAAACCTGAGATTCAATGAAATATGAGGATTCAACCTAATTTTTCCAACTTTTCAGAGGTCGCTTTGACAACGATCTAACCCGTTTCTACTGTGCCGGAGCCATGGAGGCCCTCGAGTACTTGCACCGAAAAAACATTGTCTACCGGGACCTGAAGCCAGAAAATATGCTTTTGGACCGTAATGGATGGCCAAAACTCGTTGATTTTGGATTTGCTAAAAAGCTGAGAAACGGAGGAAGAACATGGACATTCTGTGGAACCGCTGAATACGTGGCACCGGAAATTGTGCTCAATAAAGGACACGATCTATCGGTTGACATTTGGGCGCTGGGAATTTTTATGTGTGAATTGCTGACTGGATCGTGAGTAGCTTTTTTGGAAGTTTCTAGAAAATTTTGGATGATTTATAGGCCTCCATTCTCGAGCACTGACCCCATGACAACGTATAATGCTATCTTGAAGGGATTGGAAAAGTGGGCGTGGCCAAGGTAAGAGATCTCGAAATTTTCGAATTTGATTGGAAATGCTGCATTAACAATAACATTTGGAATTTTTCGAATTTTTCAATATTTTTTGAAACAGTAAAAAATTTCAAAATTTTCAAAACCTCATAACTCTGTTCGTTTTTGTTCTAGAAAAAAGAATTTTAATGCAAAATGAAGCCTGAATTTTCTATTTTTAGGTTGAAATACATTTTCAAAAAAAATTCAATTTCGAAATGAAAATTCTAATTTTATATGCTCTAATTGAGTCCCACCCTATACGTCCACAAGCTCAATTATCTGGGTTACGGTAAGAGATATTAAACACTTGTAAATTGATAAAATGTTGTAAATTTTATGAAAAACATTTCATTAGTTGACACATTTTTTATATCTCTTACAGTAACCCAGATAATTAAGCTCAATTTGAATGTCTAGGGTGGGCTGCGATTAAACTGCACACTGTATATAAAACTGGAATTTTTTGGTTTATAGTTTCTCGAAACTTACAGTTTTGAATTCAAACTTTAAAATAAAGATTTCAGACTTCATTTTGTGCTAAAAATCATTTTTCTAGGACGAAAATGAACAAAGTTATGGCTCTTTTTGAAAAAAAAATTCTGTTTCAAAAATTTTTTGAAAATTCGAAATCTTTCTTTTTTTTTAGTTTAAATCGACTCAAAATTCCGCTGAAATTTAAACCCCTAAACATCAAAACTTTTCCAGATTCATCACAAAAGAGGCCATCGACATGATGCTCTCCCTCTGCAAATTGGAGCCCACCGAACGTCTGGGCTTCGGAGACATCGGCGAAATCCGTCACCATATCTGGTTTGACAATTTCGATTTCGTCGGATTCCGGTCCCACCGAATGCGTCCCCCATATGTCCCCTCAGTGTCGAATGAAGTCGACACTTCGAATTTCGACATTTTCCCCGCGTTCGACAATTTCTCATCGGGTGTCGACGAGTCGGGATGGGACGTCGAGTTCTAAGTGGCAACTTTCTGTATATTGATTTATTGATTTTTTCCTTTTTCTGACCCTTTTTTTTCAAATTCCCGCCCTCTTTTCTTGTGCACATACCCCCGTATATGAACAGCTTTTTCGTTTTGAGATACTCAGCTCCCAAAGGAGCCACGCAGCTTCATTTCCAAAGAAAAAAAAATTTAATTTGCCGCCGGGTGCCTCCTTTCTTTTTTTGTACATAGCTTTTATTAGCCTCCCCCTGATTTCGTTTTACTGTACAAAGCCCCCCATAATAAATAAATTTTATCAATGGAGCGCGTTTACTAAACATTTCACAAATAGATTTTTAAAAAATGGCACTGGCTGAACAAACAAAATCAAGTTTTATCAGCGGCAATCAAACGAAGGTTACTATTTTCAGAGTTTCAGAGATTACGCGTTTTGGCAACGAAAAATGAGTAAATAGTCGTCTAAATATTTGTAAATGACGAATTTTTTGTTGAAAAAGCGAGAAAACAACTTTTCGGGTGTGGTTTTGGGGAATTTCAAGCATTTTCGGGGGATTTTCAAGTTTGCGCGTCAAATCTGATGCTTTGTACGTAAATGAAAGGAAACTGGGGTTTTGAGGGGGATAAGAAAGGGTTTTCTGCAAGAATAAAAATTTCTGATTGACTGGGAATTGCAAAAAGTACAATTTTCAGCATGAATTTCAGTAAATTTAAGCAATTTTCCGAATTGCGCGTCAAATAAAATGCACTGTGTGCAAACTCAAGAGCACCGAGTTTTCAGAACTTTTCAATGATTTTAATAGCAATTTTCAGCATCAAATCCATTAATTTTCAGCTATTTTTCTAATTGCGCGTCAAATATGATGCATTGTGTGCAAACTCAAAAATTCCCGAATTTTCCGGAATTCTCAATGCTTTAATCGCAATTTTCAGCGTAAATTTGAACACTTTACTGCGGAAATTGCATTTTTCAGCAGAAAATATTTTTCATTAGTTTTCAGATATTTTCCGATTTGCGCGTCAAATAAAACGCATTGCGTGCAAAAATGGCTTTTCAAGCATTTTCAGAGATTTTCAGTATTTTCCCTATACTAATTGCGATGTTCAGCTTCAATTTCAAGGCTTTCCAGGAATTAGTGCTAAACTGGATTTTCAGGAATTTTCAGATAATTTTCAGCATATTCTCAAAGGGAATGAAGCGGACACTCGTTGAATTTTCCAGATTATTTTTTTCAAAAGAAAACAGAGAAAAATGACACAAATTCCCGATTTTCAGCGTTGTTAAAACTTGCTCGTTAATTCAAATGCATCGTCTGCAACAATCGGAATTTTAAATTTTCAGCGATTTTTTTCCTTTTTTTTCCGGATTTTCTGTGTTTTTTAATCGAATAAAATTGCCTTTCTTTTCCAATAAAAATCGCCAATTTGTTTTTCGTTTTTCGATTACTGTACCCAGTGTTTGCTCGTCAAGTGAAATGCATTGTACGCAGTGCATGGAATTTCGAGGTGTTGGCATTGTTTCAAGCCAGTTGGAACTCTAGTTTTCGCCTATTTTGACTTTTTTTTAATTTTTTGTCTGAAAATATAAAAACAGAAAATATTTCAGAGGTCAAATTGTTAGCGAATGAGAGCAGTGGAGGTTTATAGGTGGCTAGTGAGTTTTGTGATTTTTTTCGATTTTTTCGAAAAATATAAAGTAAAAATCGTCATTTAAAATAGCTAAAAATGTAGAAAAAACAAAAAAAAAATGGGTTAAAAATCGGAAAAATATAGATTTTTTGCGAAAATTTGGGAGTTTTGAGTCATTGGATACTAAAATATAGGTAAATAAAGATGAAAAATTGAAAAAAAAAATGGGAAAAATCACAGAAATTTCGGCGATTTCCAGCAGAAATATCGCAAAAAAAGCGAGAAATTTGAGCTGAAAATCAGATTTTTTATAATTTTTGTTTTTTTTTTTTTTTTTAATCTTTCTGAAAGTTTTGAATTTTAAGACTTGAAATTGACAATTTCAGCTGTTTTTTTGTGCTTTTTTTTCTAAAAATTCTGACTGAAATTTTCCGAATTTTTGAATTTTTTAAGATTGTATTTTTCTGAAAATTTGAGTTTTCAGTTTAAAGATTTTTGAATTTCGGCCGAAATTTCATTTAATGGCGCATCGTCCTTCTATATTTCATCCACCTCTAAAGTTTCTAGATTTTTCGAAAATTGTTATTTTTAGCCTATTTTTCTCAAAAATTTCGGCAGTTTTTCATAGCTTTTTGGGTCATTCTCATCGTTTTTATTTGATTTTTTTCCGGTAAAAAATAGCAAAAAACTGACAAAAAAATCGATAAAGATCATCCAAAAAGCCATGAAAATTGCCAAAAATCGAGAAAAATCGGTCTAAAAATATTTATTCTCGAAAAATCTAGAAGTTTTAAAGGCGCATGGACTTTAACGGCTGCTCCGACAATGCGCAAATTTAAACAAAAAATTTCCGACAATTTTGAAATTCCGAAATTTCTGAAAATAGGAGAATCAGATGCGCCTTTAAATTTGTTTAAATTTTTTTTCTCGAATTTCGCTGTTTCTGAAGCGTGCAACAAAAATAAAAGAGCCGGGAAATTTGAAATCCGTGAAAGCTGAGCAATCGGTGGCAGCTAAATTCATCCGGATATTAAAATTGAGTCGGTGAATATAACGGATATTGGATTCGTTTCCTCCCAGTAGCGCCTCAGCAGTTCAATTTGAAAAAACTACGGTAATTTATAGAGCCGCTACAGTATGCCGTATTTAGTCTAATAAAAGCACACTCAACTTGTTCGCTGAAAATCGCTGAAAATTTAAAATTCCGATTGTTGCAGACGATGCATTTGAATTGACGAGCAAGTTTTAGCAATGCTGAAAATCGGGAATTTGTTTCATTTTTCTGTATTTTCTTTTGAACAAAAACAATCTGGAAAATGCAACGAGTATCCGCTTCATTCCCTTTGAGAATATGCAAAAAAATTATCTGAAAATTCCTGAAAATCCAGTTTCGCACGCAATCACGGGGGTAAAATCGGGTATTGTCAATTCAAAAAGATCGCACCGGTGAACACACAAACAAACAAGTAAACAAGGGGGCGGAGCGATCCGCCCCTTTTCGCAAAGGTATTTTAGCGATGCCGTTTTTCGGTAATTTTTCATCGAATTTCTTCCGGATTGAAGGAAATTCGTCGATTTTGTGAAGGAATATAATTTTGTTTTAATAAAAACTGAGAAACACTATTGAGAAACACTATTCTTTGATTCGCGGTGAAAATGAAAACAGCAAGACCATGTGACGTATCGAATCCTGCAATGATGAAAATAAGAAGTAGAAAAGCTTCGAGATCACATAAAACATAAATTATCATTGCAAAGTTTCCTGAAAACCTGAAAACTCGATCGGAGAAGTATTTAGAGTAATTTGTCGTCTAACCGCAGATTATTCAACACTTCTTCATAGTTGTGATACAAGAAGGCGATTTTTCAATTCCGAAGAAATTCGATGAGAAATTACCAAAAAACGGCATCGCTAAAATACCTTTGCGAAAAGGGGCGGATCGCACCGCCCCCTTGTTTACTTGTTTGTTTGTATGTTCACCGGTGCGATCTTTTTGAATCGACAATATTGTCTATTCAATAAAACGTGGGCGCGCCGCAGGTTGCAAAGTGACACGCCCCTTTTTGAAACGCGTCCCCTTTTCCCTCTTCTCACGCTGAATAGACAATACATGGATTTTAATCGAGATTTCGCGCTTTTTTCGGACGCGTCGCGGTTGAAATTCGCTGAGTAGCGACTCATGTAATGTTAATTGAGCTGCGAGGATGATACTGAAAACTGCCATCCACGCACGCGCCGCGCGGCGAATGAGAAAGGCGCGAAATCTAGAATTCAAATCCATGTACCCGATTTTACCCCCCGTGCGCAATGCATTTCATTTGTCGCGCAAAACTAAAAATTACTGGAAAGTCTTGAAATTGGAGTTGAACATCGGAATTGTAGGGAAAATACTGAAAATCGTCTGAAAATCCCTGAAAACGCTTGAAAATCCATTTTTGCACACAATGCATTTTATTTGACGCGCAAATCGGAAAATATCTGAAAACTAATGAAAAACTTTTCTGCTGAAAAATGTAATTTCCGCAGTAAAGTGTTCAAATTTACGCTGAAAATTGCGATTAAAGCATTGAGAATTCCGGAAAATTCGGGTATTTTTGAGTTTGCACACAATGCATCATATTTGACGCGCAATTAGAAAAATAGCTGAAAATTAATAGATTTGTTGTTGAAAATTGCTATTAAAATCATTGAAAAGTTCTGAAAACTCGGTGCTCTTGAGTTTGCACACAGTGCATTTTATTTGACGCGCAATTCGGAAAATTGCTTGAATTTACTGAAATTCGTGCTGAAAATTATACTTTTTGCAATTCCCAGTCAATCAGAAATTTTTATTCTTGCAGAAAACCCTTTCTTACCCCCTCAAAACCCCAGTTTCCTCCCCTTTGCGTACAAAGCATCAGATTTGACGCGCAAGTTTGAAAATCCCCCGAAAATGCTTGAAATTCCCCAAAACCACACCCGATTAGTAAAGGGAAAATGCTGAAAATGTTGAATTTTGATAGAAAATTGATTCCTGTGGAAGATATCTAGAAGTAATCAACTGATAAATTACTTATCATGATATCACCAATATTTTTATCAGTTTACAAATTTTTCGATATCTCTCACAGGAACCGAGATAAGTGAGCCCCAAATCATCCAATTTGCATTTGAGCGCATTTTCAAGACGTTCCTCTCTGCTCACTTTTCTTCGATTCATTTTGCCATAAAATCGTTGGAAAATAGAAAAACGGACATCTGCTCATCACACTGGACACACACCGGGAGAGCACTAGTCTAGCCATCCGGAGACCAAGATTAATGGGTCTGGGCGGGAAGAAAGAAGTAGGACTTGATGTTTTCTATCACAAGAGGTTTACTAAACATTCTTTTTATCGTTGATTAAAACTGGAAAAATCTAACCATCCTCATATAATTCGTCTTGGAACAAAATCGAAGTGACACACCTTTGATTACTGTAGTTACACAGTACTTGTACTAAACCTACGAGAAGGCGTTCTCAATTCCTATTTTCGCTGAGAACAGCTAGAAAATCTAGCCGTTCTCAAATCACTCTTGTCTGGCTCCAATGCTCCTTTTGTGGACCAAAATCGAGCATTTAGAAGCAAAATTTGGCTCTGTGCCAATTTTTAAATTTCAACTTTTTGAAAATTGCGGCGTCTTTAGTCGTTACTTAGCTGGAGACCGTTACGCTTCCTAATTGGCTCGGTGCCAAATTTGAAATGGAGGTTCAGAATCGCTCGGAAAATACAGCAACATGTTGCTATTATTACTGTAGCCCTTTGATTACTGTAGTTACAGTACCGGTCAATAAGATATACAAAAACGTATTTTAGATTTTCGGTCATTTCCAGAAGTCTGGAGCTTCGCAATTATCTCGGTTCCTGTGGAAGATATCAAGAAGTAATCAACTGATAGAATGTTCATCATTTTATGTTGGAGATTTTATCAGTTGACTGATTTTTGATATCGTTCAAAAGAATCGAGATGGTTGAGCTCAAAGTTGGTGGCTCTTTTCTCCAAGTGTTTCATAACCTCTTCTTGGTTAATCATCTTGATTACTGTCCCCTATTAGTTATTATTGTTGTCCGAAAAAATTGGAGTTGAGACGCAGACAGTTAATCGAAATATTTCTCTGCGTCTCCACCGACTATGCGCTATTTAGGCTTGTCGCTTCGAGGTGCCTACCGTATTCAGACTGCAAGAAAAACTCTCTCGCACCAATTTTTTCGCACAACAATAATACTGTGGGTCAGACACACACACATTCTTTCATATCAATGTGTGCTCAAGGTATAAACCACATCATATTCCTTATCTCTTTTCTCTCTCTCTCTCTCTCTCTCTCTCTCTCTCTCCCTCTCTCTCTCACTTACTATGTTTCTTCATAACTCTATATGTATGATTCACCTTTATTACTCCAATCAGTACTTTATAAGCACTAGCAGTATGGGCTCGTGCACTTACGAAATTACTGTGTTATCAGTGCATTTTTGGAGCTTTTGCTCTATATGAGGTCATTTTTAGCAATTTTTCCGGCTAAATATAAGCTATTTTCGGCTTTTTTTCGAGTTTTTAGACCTAGAAATCTGAAATTTCGGCTTTAAATGGCTCTAGATGGCTCCTCTGGATAACTCCATATGGCTCTATATGCTTCTAGATGGCTCTAGATGACTCTATATGGCTCTATTTAGCTCTATATGGCTCTACTCTAGATTGTTCTATATGTCTCTAGATGGCTCTAGATGGCTTTAGATGGCTCTAGATGGCTTTCATTTCCAACCTTTTTATTTAGCTTGCTCTTTCATCACCACGTGCTGTTGATAGTATCAACTTGATGATACAGACCATCAGAAAGTCAAAGCATGTCTTTTTCTCTCGTCCCTCTCTCCCCTATCTATCTCTCTCCCTATATTTGCTCAATGTGCCAGTTGAAAAGAGACAGTCTCTCTCTGCTGTGTACGAACGGTCATATGCACTAGATCTCTTTTTCTGTGTCGATTTGGAGCATTTGGAGCATTTCGACTTGTCTTGTGTCATATTGACCTTATCATTTTTTTTTCGAAAATTCAAAATATCAGAATTTGAGAATAAACTGATTAAAATTGAATAGATTAGGCTGGAAATTCAAAATTTCAAAAAAAATTGTTTTTTGAAAATTTCGCAACCTCTAATAGAGCGGCACTCTGATCTCCTAATTTTGATCCAATTTATCTCGGTTGCTGTGAAAGATATCAAAAATTGGTCAACTGATAAAATGTTCATGATAATATGGATAACATTTTATCAGTTGACCACTTTTTGATATCTCTTACAGTAACCGAAATAAATTGGCTCAAAGTTGACAGTCACTTTGAACTTTTTGATTTCCCGAATTTCTTGGAAATCAGCGTCGTTTTTTGGCAAAATTTGTAGTTCAAAATGCGTTCAAAATTGTATTACTCATCGGAAAATATGCTGAAAATTATCTGAAAATCCTATTTTGCGCACAATGCATCATATTTGACGCGCAAAAATTATTTAAAGGCGCATCGCCTCAGACCTCCGGAAAATGGACGAAAACTAGTGAAAAAATAGGCTTAAAATCCGCATAAATCGGATTTCTCTCTCTCTCTCTCTCTCTCTCTCTCTCTCTCTCTCTTTTCATTTCCCTTCTTCATTTCCTTCCGTCCATATTTCAATTTCCCGTTTTTACGGTCGGAGCTCCTCCTCTCTCCTTCTCTGCGTCTCTCCCCTCTCTCTTCATTTCCAAAAGAGCCCGGCTCTTCCTCTCTCTGCGTCTCTCGCTCCCTCTTTCTCTCTTCGTTTTTCAAAATGTCTCTTCTTTATACAAACTCCTTTCCTTTTCCAAGTGTGTAGTTGTGTCCATTCTATACAGTCTCGATTTTAGAAAATCTCCCTTTCTTTCTCTGCGTCTCTCACTCTCTTACTATTTTTTAAAATTCTAGACTTGGCGTATACCGGAGCAGAATTCTTCTGAAAGTTTAAACATTCAAAAAGAGGAGAAAAATGAAATTATGGCGGGTAAGTTGGATTTTTCGGCCTTAAAATTGGCCTAAAAATAAGCTTGGTCTAAAAGTGAGCCTAAAAGTTGGACTGAAAGTAAGCCTACAAATTAGCGTAAATATGCTTGAAAATTGGCGTAAAATTAGCCTAAAGTAAGCCTATAAATAATCCTAACAATAGGCTTAAATTAGGCCTAAAAATACGCCTAACGTCGGCCTAGAATGCCTAAAGATTACCCTAAACGTGGCCTGAAAATAGCCTAATAATTGGCCTGAAAATGGCCCAAAAACTAGCTTGTTGCAGCTTGGATTGGGCCTAAAACTTGGCCTAAAAATGGTGAAATCAATTCTGAAAATCTGAAAAATCAGATTTTCGAAAAAAAAAACATTTTTCGCTCAAAAATAGCTAGCTATAGCTTTTTTGAAGCTCAAAATAGTTTTTTTCCGATTTTGTGCTCTTTCTCGAGCCCCGAAAAGAGCACGAATCATGTTGCTAGGGCTCCTCCGTAACGTCTCCGGCTCACGGAGCAAGAAAACGGATTGCTCATCTTTCTCTCTTTTTCTCTGTGTCTCTTCATATATACATAATTTATATGGATGTGTTCAGAAGAAAGAGCACAAGAAAAGAGCAAAAAGAAGCCATAAAATTTGAGAGCTCAGATTTTCGAAAATCGGGGATTTACTGGAAAATCGAAAAATCAAAAAGAGCATAAAAATTCAAAATTTGTTTTTTTTGAAACATAGAGAATCGAGCGGGAAATTCAAAATTTTCCAATGAATCACTATAAAAAATCCAAAATCCATGAAAAATGGCCCAAAATCCATGAAAAATGGTCCAAAATCCGTAAAAAATGATCCAAAATTCATAAAAACCAGAAAAATTTGAATTTTTTAATTTTCTCGCTTTTTTTTCAACCTGAAAATGGCTAAAATGCAAACTTTGGCGCCTCGTAATCACGCTCCACTGAACGAAGCTAAAATTTTCAAGCTAAAAATCGATAAGTCGATAAATCAATAATCTTCCAGATGTCCTACTTCTGGCACGAGCCATACTGGCTGCCGAGAAACGTCACTTGGCCAGAAGTCCCATCGAAATTCGCCGATTTGCTGGTCCCGATCTATTTGGCGATTCCATTGGTTATTATTAGGTACGAGGAATTTGAATTTTTTAAAATTTTTGAACGCGAAAATTCAAATTTTTGAAAAATCCCAAAATTATTGATTTTTGCTGAAATGTTGGGTATTTTTAAGTTTTTTTTTTGTATTTTTAAGCCATTTTTCCCTATTTTTCGTTAAATTTTCCTTTCTTTTTGCAACTTTCGCTTCCAAAACAAATAGGACACAGTAGTCTGTGTTCGATCCGGTTTTTGACTCTTTTTGAGCGACGGAATGCACACAAAGGGGGGGCACAAATCATGGAAATCATCGCTTTGGACACGAAAAATTGGGGGAGATTTGTCGAAAAATGACATTTTTGAAGAGAAAAATCGATTGAAAACAATTGAATTTGGCACTTTTTGGTTTAAAATCCAGCAAAAAATCGATAATTTGAGATGGGAAATTGACAGAATTTGATCGATTTTTTTAGCGAAATATATATGAAAATTCATTAAATTAAAATGTCATTTTTGGAGAAGAAAATCGTTGGAAAACAGTCAAATTTGGCAATTTTCGACTGAAAATCTAGCAAAAAAATCGATAATTTTTGTCTGAAAATTGAGAAAATTGACTGAAAATCGCGAAAATTTTATTTTAAAGAGAAAAATGGTTAAAAAATATCGAATTTGACGATTTTTTGACCGAAAATCTGGCGAAAAATCGATAATTTTTTTCTGAAAAAATAGAAAATGGCTGAAAATTTCAGAAATTCCCTTTTTAATACAAAATAAAATCGCCCAAAAACTCCCAAATTTGACGGTTTTTGACTGAAAATCTAGCGAAAAATCGATAATTCTCAACTGGCAAATTTTGGAAAATTGACCGAAAATCCCGAAAAAATCAATATTCTGCAGAATCATCTGGGAATCAACCGTCGGCGTCACCTATCTCTATTTTCGAACGAATGCATATGCATCGAGGAAGAATATCACACTTTTGGGATGTGTGAGTTTTGATGAATTTTCGAAATTTTACAAAAAATTATCCTTGAGATTATCCTTGAAAAAAAAGTCCAAAAAAAATAGCTCAAAAATAATTGAAATCCTTAAATTGATTTTGCTCGAGAAACGTTTGAAATCTTATCAAAATTAGATGAAAAAATCGCTAAAAATCGAGAAAAATAGCCAAAAAATGACAATTTTCGGCTGAAAATTTCTGAAAAAATTTGCCCAAAATAGCTCAAAATTGAGCTCGAAAATTGAATTTTCCAATTTTTAAATTCAAAAAATTCAATTTTCCTGCTCATTTTTAGACTCAAAAACATGAAAATTACGCCTAAAAAGAAGCCAATGTTAGCACGAAAAAGATCAAAAATTCACCAAAATCCATGACAAATTGTCCAAAACTCACGAAAATTGGCTCAAAATTCATGGAAAACGGTCTAAAATCCATGAAAAATGGACGAAAATCCATGAAAAATGGCCCGAAATTCATGAAAAATGGACGAAAATCCATGGAAAATGGTCCAAAATCTATGAAAAATGGACGAAAATCCATGAAAAATGGACGAAAATCCATGGAAAATGGTCCAAAATCTATGAAAAATGGACGAAAATCCATGGAAAATGGTCCAAAATCTATGAAAAATGGACGAAAATCCATGGAAAATGGTCCAAAATCTATGAAAAATGGACGAAAATCCACGAAAAATGGACGAAAATCCATGGAAAATGGTCCAAAATCTATGAAAAATGGACGAAAATCCATGGAAAATGGTCCAAAATCTATGAAAAATGGACGAAAATCCATGGAAAATGGTCCAAAATCTATAAAAAATGGACGAAAATCCACGAAAAATGGACGAAAATCCATGGAAAATGGTCCAAAATCTATAAAAAATGGACGAAAATCCAGAAAAATGGACCAAAATCTTTAAAAATGGCCCGAAATCTATGGAAAATGGCCTAAAATCAGCGAATTTTCAGGATTTTTAGCTCTGAATTCCCTAAATTTCGCTATTTTCAGATGTGGGAACACATGACGGGCGGTTTCGCGAGCCTCTCCCGTGCCAAGAAGATTCTGGAATGTTTCTGGAGATTCAGTTATTACACATTCGCCTTCCTCTATGGATTGTATGTGATGATCGATGCGTCGTGGTTGTATGATGTGAAACAGTGCTGGATTGGTTATCCATTTCATCCCGTTCCAAACACAATTTGGTGAGAATTTGTCTGAAATTTGCGTCTGAAAATTATCTGAAAAATTTTGGAAATTTGGGGCTGAAAATCGGCTGGAAACAGCGGAAATCGGGCATTTTTGAGCTAAAAAAGAGCCGATTTTTAGCCTAAAATCGGCTCTTTTTCTCTGCGTGTCTCACTCTATTACTGTCTTTCTCACTGTCTTATCAGCCACCTTAGGTACATTCTCTCTGCTTGCCACGTCACCAAGACATAATTGATAAGAAAACGAGAAGATGATGACACATAGTGTAGCCATATCAATGACTTAATAATGAGCATTTTGAATTAATGGAAAATTTGGGGATTTTTGAAAAAAAATTAAATTTTGGACCAAAACATTTTTTTTCCGATTTTTTCAAAATTGTCCGATTGCGATGAATATTGATATCACGAGCTGAAATCGGCTGAAAATTAGAGTAAGGAAAGAAATTTTCAAAAAAATTAAAAATTTGCAAAAAATTTTTTTGAAATTTTTTTGAATTTTCGATTTTTTCAAGATTGTCCGCGATTGCGATAAAAATCGAGATCACGAGCTAAACTGCGCTGAAAATGAGAATACTGTAATTTTTTCGCAAAAATCGAAATTTGAAAAAAAAAAAGTTGAAAAAAATTTTTTTTCGATTTTTTTCAAAATTGTCCGATTGCGATAAAAAATGATATCACAAGCTGAAATGGGCTGAAAATGAGAATGCTGAAAAATTTTATCGAAATTCGAAATTTGAAAAAAAAATTTGGAATTTTTGAGCAAAAATTTTTTTCTCAACAATTCCTTTCAGTATTCTCATTTTTAGTCTATTTCAGGTCGTGATATCAATTTTTATTAGAATTGGATAAATTTGAAAAAATCGAAAAATTTGGCAGTTTTCGAAATTTTTCAAAAAATTCAAAAATCGATATTTCCAGGTGGTACTACATGATTGAGACTGGTTTCTACTATTCGCTGCTCATCGGCTCGTATTTCGACGTCCGTCGTTCAGACTTCTGGCAGCTGTGGTCCATCACGTTATCACCATTTTCTTGCTCTCGTCCAGTTGGACTATAAACTTTGTTAGGTGAGATTTGGCTGAAAATTATCGATTTTTCAGGCTGAAATTCTTGAAATTTCAGCTCTTTGCGCTGAAAATCGTTAATTTTCAGTTTCGGAAAAATTCCGAAAAATTTTTTTTTCCAGTTTTGACCTTTTTGGAACATTTCTTTTAGCATTCTCATTTTCAGCCCATTTCATGTCGTGATATCAATTTTTATCGCAATTGAACAATTTTGAAAAAATAGAATTTTCCAGAGTCGGAACACTGATTCTCCTCTCCCATGACGTGTCGGACGTCTTCCTGGAGGGTGGAAAATTGGTCAGATATGATGCCCATAACAAGAATATGACAAACTTCATGTTTGTCCTTTTCTTCACTTCCTGGGTCCTCACCCGCCTTATCTATTATCCATTCGTCGTTATTCGATCAGCGGTCACTGAAGCGGCCGCTCTGATTCAACCGGATTATGTCATTTGGGATATGGGATTGGTGAGTTTTGAGCTAAAAGTAAGCTCTCAAGGAGCAAAAAGACGGAAATAGGCTTTAAAATAGCTAAAAAGCCTTAAATCAAACAAAAATGATCTGAAAATAGCATCGAAATTAGCTGCAGTTTTCAGCCTAAAAATGACCGATTTTCAATCTTAAAATGGGCGCCAAATATCTGGTCTGAAATTAAGCTGAAAATGACTGAAATTAGTCTGGAAAAATTGCTGAAAATTTGGCCGAAAATTCCCCCAAAAAATTTCCCGTGAAAAGTGGGCGGAGTCAGAGGGGGCGGAGCCTAAATTGCAATCCTGAAATTGATCGATTTTTCGGCTTAAGTTTTGTCTGAAATTTAGCTGAAAATTCAGCCAAAATAGACGCTAAACATTTGAGAAAGAGGGCGGAGCCTAGACTGTTTAAGCTCCGCCCACTTTTTTCGGAATTTTCCCTGGAATTTCGAGTAGAAAGTGACTCAAATTCGGTTAAAGAAGACGTCCGGACACTTGGAAACACATAAAATCCTAAAAATTCAATATTTCAGAGCCCACCATACGCTCCCCGACTCATCGTCTTCGCTCTCATCGCTCTGTTCTTTTTGCACATCTTCTGGACATTTATCATTCTTCGCATCGTCATCCGCACGACAACTGGAGGACAGGCGAAAGACGTCAGATCGGATTCCGATTCGGACTACGATGAGGAAGAAATGGCGAGACGAGAGAGGACTCGTCTCTTGAAAAAGAAGAAGAATAAGGTGCGGATTTTTGAATTGAAAATCTGAGCATTTTGAGCCCATGAAAGTTGGTGGCCTAGAAAACTCAACTTGCAAAAGTTCGGCCACC